CTGAATGGATCCGTGTACTGTAGTAGATATATGCAGTCAGTAGGCGGTTGGTTTAGGTTTTTTTTTGGCATCTCCATGTGGTCCTGTTCGGTATCGCAACTTGGCTTCTCTAAAATGTAAAAAAGCTCTTTGCTGTTGCACTGTACACATACTATACAATTCAGATTTTTTTTTTCATATATGCTTATATGGGCTCCTTATATCATTTGGTTCTTTGTTGTCCTTTTGGAGTTTCTAAGTGTCCTTTTTTGGAAAGACATCTAAATTTATCTTGAAAAAAGCTTGCAGAAAATATAGATTTTTGAGAATCACCCTTCAATCTTTTGGTTTACTTTGCTGGATATAGCAAATGACGACAAAATAAACATCTGAAACAAGATAAATGGTCTATGCTTAATTTCATGAAAGGTGCGATTAATCGCAGAAAAAGGATGTGATTAATCAGATTCAAAATTTTAATCGATTGACAGCCCTAAAAATTACTAAAACTAAAATGTAAGTAATTTTTTTTAAACCTAAATATAAATATATATAAAAAGCAAAAACTAATAAAAATGACAAAAGTGCATACAATTAAAAAAAAAAAGAAAAACCTGAAATTACAAACCTAAAAGCTAATTCAAAATAGTAATAAATCATATAATAATATATTATTAATACTAAAATAACCCTGGTTATATTCCAATATGTTGTCATATTCAAATGTAGTGATATGACGATGATGTTTGGTCACAAGACAAGAAAACTACGTGTATTTTATGGAATGGTTCAGTTTTACATATTTGTGCAGATGTGTGTGTTTACCATGTGCTTCCTCCGATCAGAACCTCCCAGTAGTGCCTGCCGCTGTCGATGAACACGTTCCCCGTCACGCCGTAGTTCCCCGTGCTGCCGAAGCGGTCCTGAGCGTGGCTCTTCATCGACGAGGCTTCGTCCCGCTCCACCGTCAGATGGTCATGTGACACCTTCAGCTTCCTGTGGGCCGCCTTTGGGTCGAGCTTAAACGGCTGACCTGCCATTCACAAACAATCACACAGAGATTCACAGATAAATAAAGCAGTTACTAGGAGTGAATTAAACATAATAACACTCTCTATTCTAATTCTATTCTTCTAATCTTTTTGTATTCTATCTGTTTTCTTTTCATTTATTATACAATTAACAAAAGCAAAAAAGGCCTCTAACACTAGCTTGCTCTATTCTTTTTCTATTCTATCTGTTTTTTTAATTTATTATATTATTTAAAAAACCCTTGCTACATGTTCTGCGTTAAGCTAACTGAGACTTGTTATAGCACTTGCATATCATTGCTCTTTTGTTGATTTTGATCGCTTCTGTGGTCCTCATTTGTAAGTCGCTTTGGATAAAAGCATCTGCTAAATGACTAAATGTAAATGTAAACATAAAGAAAAAACTACTAGAACTATTTCAAAAAATTTAAATAAAACTAAAATAAATTAAAATAAAATAAAACAGAATATGAAATAAAATGAAAATCAGAAATGTCGCCACAGCAACTAACTCAACTGAAGTAAAAATTTAAGTTAAAGTAATAAAATTAAATAATATATCCACGAAATCCTAAATCATTTTACTATGAGGTCAAAGACACTAAACATAAAGACAAAAAACGAAAACTATTACAAATTAATGGAATTATGTAATTCAAATAAAGCTGAAACATCAACAAATTTAATTAAATTAAATATTAGATAACAAACCTAAACTTAAAATTCTTAAACGAAAATTGTTGCCATGGCAACAAACTGAACTGAAATATGTTCAAGTTGAAGTACGAACACGGAAAAAAACTACTAAAACTATAAAAATTTAACTGAGTTACTTAATCGAAGTTAAGCTGAAATAAAATAGAAATGAAATAAAAAGTAGTATGAGAAGCTAAAATTAAATTAAATTAAATGGAAAAATGAAAAACCTAAACTTAAAAAAATGAAAATGAGAAATGTTGCCATAGCAACTAATTGAGCTGAAATATGTTTAAGTACTAAAAATAATAAAACTCCAATTGAATAAAATTCAAGCTAAATATAAAAAAAGACTAAATATAACTTAATATAAAATTAAAACTGAAAATATAAAAATAATACTAAGTGCTATAAGTGTCTAAATAATTCTAAAATAACTCCAGTGTGTTGTGATTGAGTGGATCTGATGACAGAAGGCTCACTGTTGGTCTTGAGTTTGGCCGGCGGGCTGCTGCGGCTCCCAGCCTGATTCATGGCCTTCACCATGAAGATGTACTTGGTTCCGCTCTGCAGGCCGTGAACCGTGTAGTGATTCTGCTTGATGTTGGGCACGATCATCCAGCTGTCCATCGAGTTACACAGACCTGAAACGTCACGCACGTTTAAGACAATCTCTGAAACATTCTGCACAGATCTATTGGAGATGGCCAATGTGTTGTCTATACAAGAAAAGCTCACCACGACCGTGTGTACAACAGGGCTATTTATCCAACTATTACAAATTATGGCATGGGCCATTTTTGTGAAAATAAATATTAAAGAATAAATTTGAGTAAAAAAAAAATTATTCATTAAAATTTTTTTTAACTAAAATGAAGTTTGCAAAGTAAAATCATTTTAGACCTAAAAGCCTTGCGAAATCCTGGTGTAAAATGAACTAAAATAAAATAAAATAAAATAAAATGATTAAAACTGCTGAAAAATTTTAACTTAAAAAACATGAACTAAAATATGTTTTAAAATAATACAATATCAAACTAAAACAACTAAAAGCTAATTCTTCATTTATCCATCTAGGTTACAGTGTTTGGATGGATGAATGAAGCCATCCTAATGAACTGAATTAATTAACTGAAATAAAGCTGAAAAATAAAATAAGATCAAATAAAAATATTTGATGGAATACCTAAACTTAAGTGAAGTGAGTGAGTGAGTGAAGTGACATGTGGCCAAGTATGGTGACCCATACTCAGAATTAGTGCTCTGCATTTACCCATCCAAAGTGCACACACACAGCAGTGAACACACACAAACCGTGAACACACACCCGGAGCAGTGGGCAGCCATTTATGCTGCGGCGCCCGGGGAGCAGTTGGGGGTTCGGTGCCTTGCTCAAGGGCACCTCAGTCGTGGTATTGAAGGTGGGAGAGAGCGCTGTACATTCACTCCCCCCCCCTACAATTCCTGCCGGTACGAGACTCGAACCCACAACCTTTGGGTTATGAGTCCGACTCTCTAACCATTAGGCCACGACTTCCCCTTAAAAAATAATGAACTGAAATGTGTTCAAATAATAAAATTAAGAAGAAACAAGCTCCACTTGCTTCTTTACGAAACTTTAGGGCTGCCCCCTAATAGTCGATTAATCGTTAGAAAATGTTATTAGTCGCAGAAAAAAAAAAATCCACGGGCGAAGTCACGCAACGCAGTCCGTGACAGACAGATCGTTAATGGCTAGTCTATAGTAATACAGTACATCGAGCAGGACATCTAAAAGCTCGCCTATCATCCATCAACCTCAAATTTGGTTTATCATCTGAAATATGTAAGTATTAGTAACTCTACATGGCCGCTCAATCTAATGTTAACCTAGAGAAATGTGCGCTATATGTCTGTGAGGAGTGTGAAGCTGAACAGTAGCTCACTGCAGGACTGATGGAGGCGCCGGTGCGCTCACTTGCTCTTAAAATACTCCCTCATTTCTGCTCATACAGATAAGAGTAATAGATCTTTAGAATCTGTAGAGACTCAACATTTATTTGTGTGCACTCACAATAACAATAAAACGTGCTTTTGTAAAATAATGAAAGCAAACAGGATGCGCTTTCTGCCGTCTCGGTCTCTGTGAACTCGAGCGCGAAACACTGTGTATATCTTTGCCTTATAAAAATATATCTATAGAGAGTGAAATGTCTACTTTCAAATGAACCAATTCAAATGGGAAACAAATATACTCAGATTATGTAATCCGTATGAAACATGAATACAGGCTCTGCAGAGTCAGTGTCGCCGAATTCATCTCTTAATCCGAAACAAAAAGCACTAGTTTATCAAATTATTAAAATGTTAATGCAGTCTCCTTACTGTTTTTCCCTGACACATTCATAATCATTACTTCTGCTGGTGCGCTGTGGCAAGTTTTATGCGTGTTTGAGCACTTATTTGGCTATGTATGCAATTAAAGGCTCATTATAATGATTTAAAGGGTTTATTAATAAACGTTAATAAACGATTAGTCGACTAATGCTTCAAATGAACGACTAGCTGACCAGAAAAATCCTTAGTCGAGGGCAGCCATATGAAACTTGTTTCTGATTTTCAAAAATCAAAATGACTGAATATGCTGCAGACACCAGTACAGAAATACTTCTTGCTTTCTGAAAATACAGAATTGTGTTTGACGCAGGCGATTTGTTTTCAGACAATTTTGACAATGTTACATTACTGTCTGTTTTTTTCCCTTTTTTTTCCCATTTTTAAAAAACTTTTATTTAAAAGATTTAATTTAAATCTGCCGGTAAAAACAGGCATTATGATGACTAACAAATATTATATATAATATATTCAGTATTGTGTTAATTGCATATTTGGATTAGCTAATGTTGCTAGAAAAAGTGCAGAAAAATTTTGAAAATATAACAAAAAAATCAAGTTGCACATTGCAAATAATGCAACTAAAGTTGCAAATAAAATTGCAAATAATGCGGCAAGTGGTTGATTTGGCATTCATTCTTGCAATCTGAAGATCTAATTTAATTGCATTGAAATGCATGACTTGACAGCGGTGTTTTCTGCTGCTTTAGCCCGCGTTCGTCCTCAGATCTGCCTGACACCAGCGCTGCATTGTGCTTTAAGTACACTGTGACCTGACTGACTCCACTCAGTCCTGCAGAATAATCTGCTCTAATCCACACAACTACGCTCAAACTGAACTCAAACGCACATTTTCAGGAATTTCTGGCTGGATTGTGTTTGCTTTCGTGTCGTAAGACCATCTGGCCCCTGCAGCGCTGGATTCCTAATAAAATCACAGCGAGGGTTGATTCGCCAGCCTGTGTTTGACAGATGGTCATCTGGACTGAGTTTCGGCTCAGTTTGTTTACTGACGACATTATAAAACTGAAATAAAGCTAAAAATAAAAATAATAAAATAATAAAAGTAAAATAAATAATAATATTCAATGAAAAACATAAAATGAAATATGCTTTAAGTTGAAGTATTAAAGTTAATCAAACTAAATCAGAAATTAAAAAAAAATGAACAAAAGTTAAATCCAGGAAATCCTAAATAATTTTACTATGAGGTCAAAGTCTCAAAGTTCTATGGTTTTAGAGCAAAGAGGTCAACATCAATGCCCATAATTGAAGCTGTGGAGGAAATCACAAACACCCTAGACAGAAAAAAATATACAGTTGGAATATTTATTGATTTAAGGAAAGCTTTTGATACACTCAATCATTCAATCTTACTCCATAAACTGGAAAGATATGGCATTAGGGGAGTGGCTTTGATCTGGATCAAAAGTTATTTAACTGAAAGACAACAGTTTGTGAAGTTGGGCGGGTTTACGTCACAGTGTCTGGGCATTGCTTGTGGGGTCCCTCAAGGATCAGTATTGGGTCCCAAGTTATTTAATTTATATATAAATGACATATTCCATGTATCTAAATTATTGAAACTGATATTATTTGCTGATGGTACTAATATGTTCTATTCTAGTGATAATTATAATACACTTATAAATATAGTAAATAAAGAATTAGTAAAACTAAAAACATGGATGGATGTTAATAAATTATCTCTGAATTTAAATAAAACTAAAGTAATGATGTTTGGCAATTATAAAGAAAACTCAGAAGTATTAATAAATATAGATGGTGTTGCAATAGAAAAAGTGTCAGAAATTAAATTCTTAGGGATAACTATTGACAGTAAATTAAGCTGGAAAACACACATCAGATACATACAAGGTAAATTATCCAAAAGTATCTATATAATGAATAAAGTTAAATATGCCCTGGAATATAATGCATTATATACAGTGGTGTGAAAAAGTGTTGGCCCCCTTCCTGATTTCTTATTTTTTTTGCATGTTTGTCAGACTTTAATGTTTCAGATCATGAAACAAATTTAAATATTAGTCAACGATAACACAAGTGAACACAACATGCAGTTTTTAAATGAAGGTTTTTATTATTAAGGGAAAACAAAATCCAAAACTACACGGGCCTGTGTGAAGAAGTGTTTATATAGATGGTGTTGCAATAGAAAAAGTGTCAGAAATAAAATTCGTAGGGATAACTATTGACAGTAAATTAAGCTGGAAAACACACATCAGATACATACAAGGTAAATTATCCAAAAGTATCTATATAATTAATAAAGTTAAATATGCCCTGTAATATAATGAATTATATATATTGAATTGTTCATTAGTTTTGCCCTACTTATCTTATTGTATAGAAGTTTGGGGCAATAACTATAAAAGTTCACTACATCCCCTCTTCATACTTCAAAAACGTGCAGTTAGAATCATACATAAGGTGGGATATTTTGATCACACAAATATATTATTTCTGCAATCCAGACTATTAAAACTTTTTGATTTAGTTTATTTTTATACTGCACAACTCTTGTATAAAGTCAACAAAAATGAACTACCGGGCAATATTCAAAAGTTATTTACATGAAGAGAGGGGGCCTATAATCTGAGGGGATGTGGGAATCTTAAAGTCAAGGTGGTGAGAACCACCAGGACAAGTTTGTGTGTGTCTGTGTGTGGTGTCAAACTTTGGAATGGTTTGGGGATGCAGCACAAGCAATGCCCAAATATTTACCTATTTAAATCAAGATACAAAGAAATGGTGTTGAAAAAATATAAGGCTGAGGGAGGGATCTTGGTGTTCTAAGCATTGTGATTATGGGGTGATGGTTATTGTATAAAAAA